TTACTAAACCTATCAACTATGACCTGCGTAGCACCTGTCTCTTATACACATCTAGATGTGTATAAGAGACAGAGCGTAGAGAGTCGAAGTCGAGTGCAGTAGTGTAGAGTGGTGTCGTAGAGAGCCGAAGTCGAGAGCATTCGCGAAGAGAGTCGAAGTCGAGTTAAAGTAGCGTCAAAGGCATGCGTAGGCATGCATAGGTGGCCGTCAACCGGATTAGCCGTTTGGCCGCCTACCCCAAAATATATGTAGTGAAGTCCAAGTAGCATCATAAGCGGTTAACAGGCACCCCCACTTTTCAGCCCCAGTTAACCCCTCAACCCTGAAAAGTGCATTGGATGATTGGAGATCATTTTTTTCAGTTTTTTCTGTTTTTTTTTTCTCTTTTGCCCTGTTTTGTTTTCGGTCAAGGTCTGCGTGTGCCAAGTTTGGTATTTGTTTGGGTCTTGGAGTTGACTCTTTTGGCTAGCCCTGAAAAAGCCTGAAAATCCTGAAAACTGAAAAGAGTGAATTTTGCATGAATGACCTGACTTCTTCTTCTGCTTCTTCTTCTGCTGCTTCTTCTTCTTTCTCTCTTCTTTGGTCTCTATCTCTTGCAAGTGCTTTCATTTCTTTCTCAATTGGGTGGCATTGTCTTTCATTGTGAATTTGCACTCTGGGAATGACAAGGATCGTAACACTGATATCAATCTATAGCCCCCCCCTGATTATCAATCTCTAGCGCTAATTCTCTCCAACAGAGATCACAGCTGCTGGGGGTAATTACACCAATGTTTGATGCGCAAAAGCACATGACATTGGGAGGGAACTCGAATGTTACCCTGAACCCGGGCCTAGATGGGATGCCAGGACGGACAGAGGCATAGAAGGCACAACTTGGGAGGAAGCTGCAATCAGACTCACATTCATTCACACTTCACACGTATGCAAACAGGTTGCGCAGCAAACTGGCGCCAGGCGCCCACTCAGAACTCAGAGATATGGTACCAAGAACGCACTCAGATACAAGTTCACTTCACATGGCTATGGCGGCACATCGCCTGAACAACTCTCTATTCGTCACTCACTTGACACTGCTGTTCGCATACAGGATCACCCTGAATACCCCACACACAACACTCTGTACCCATGCACACACCCGCACACACCTACAGCTATGGCGGCTATGGCCGCTTCTACCCTATCGCTATGGCTAACTCCTTCTCGCCCACTTCGTCTTCCGGCTCACTGCAGACCACCTCGCACAAGTCGCTATGGCAGCGCTTCCGCATGGTTTACGCAGGAATCAATGAATGGCTGGGCGCTGCCCTCTGATTTATACTTCTGTAGCTCGCTGGTCTGGCCCCTTTTCCATCGGCCCATTGCGCACACAGTCACGTATGGTACTTGCTGGACTGGACTGGGACTGACTGGACCGTACCGCTGACTGCATGGGGTTGGACCACAACCTCACTGCAGTTGCACTGCCAACACACTGAGGTTGGCTCCACCACTTGCCCACTTGCCCACTTGCCTTTGCCTAACGTGAGCCTACTCCGAAAGGCCACTTCCGGAAGTCTGTAGACTTGGCCTTTCGGTACCGTAGCAGCTACGACCTTGACCTTTCAGGACTGTAGCAGCTACGACCTTGACCCTTCGGACAGGCTACAGCTACGACTTCTAGAACTCACTAGGACTCCTATCCGACAGGTCTACAGATCGAACCCCTACCCCTACACCGACCTACGACAGACAACAACAACTGTCAAAACACTGGTCTGTGATAACCCGTCCAAACACGGACTGAAACACACAGCTGATTTCTGAGTTTTGCTCATAGACTGAATGCCCTACTGAGTCCCCCGCCTGCTAAGTCTGTGTGTGTGTGTGCTTGCTGGACTGCATGTCTGTCTGAGTGCTGGTTGGCTTGCAGGTGTGACCGTGCCTGTCTGAGTGCTGGTTGGTATGAGTGTGTGTGTGTGTGGCCTGCCAGGGCACTTGTTCGTTCGTTGGGCCCTCAGGGCCGGTACTTMCCTGTGGCCGTGGCTTCGAAGGGTTGCAGCAGGGAAAAAGCACTCAAGTAGCGGGTAGGCCGGTACCGCACCCGGCAGGGGGGTAAATATGCAGGTACCGGAGGCCGAGCAGAAGAAGACAAAAGTGGCATTTTTAGAGGCTGGTAATGTAGGCTAGGTCTAGCGGGTACCAGTCTGAGTCTAGGGCCTGTAGGGGCAATATCAGAGTCTGCAATGATGTTCCCTCCAAAAGGAGGAAGGCGACACACTGGTGGAGCGCTGGAGGGAGCAACGCTGGGTTGGAGCTGCGCTGCTGGGGAGGAAGAAGAAGGACAAGAGGGAGGAAGGAGGAGGAAGGAAGAAGGAAGGGGGAGGAGCGCCAGGGGTACTTACCTGGCTATGGTGGCAGCCATCTTCATCACCTTGGTGGGCGCTGCAGCAAGGAGTCCCCAGCCGGGGAAAGCCACACCAAGAAGCTTCAGGGCAGGGTTGGACATGGTGGCCTGAGTCCGAGCTGCCATAGCTGCTTGGTGTTGTCCTTTGGGCATCGGAGCAAGGCATAGTAGTCCGCCATAGCCTCGGTCTATGTGTATGAAGAGTGGGAGAGGCGGCCATGGCTATGGTGGACCTTGAGTGATACCTGCAGTAGAAGAGGGACTCCGACATGATTCTGGACCAGTCATTCAACATTGTACTATTATTTCTTGTATGAATAAGAGAAGGGGGAGATAAGGAGGAGGAGATTGTTGGGCGAAGAAGAAGAGCCTTGTCATCATCTTTGCTGGTGTACATCTTCTTCTTCTTCTTTCTCATCTCTTCTTCTTCTTCTACTGCTCTCTCTCCTCTGAAATTCATTCATTTCTTTCTGCAATTGGATGGCATTGTACTTCTCATTGGATGTGTATCTCGCAATTGGCCAGGGTCATAACAGGTCACGGGTTCAAACACTCGGGGTCAACACAGATACTGTACACAGGTAAGGTGGGAACTAGGGATCGAGCCCTGGGATCTGCGCTCGCTACTGCTGACAGGTGAAAACCGTTTCAAAGCCCTCCAGTCAGCAAATCATCCACGTGCATGCAGTCCAGCAAATTATCCACAGTACAGCCTCATTATGTGAAGGAACAAGCAAAACATCTGCGTGCTGTTCTCTATGAACTGAATGTCAGTGAAGTACTGGAGTGGTCATCTCGCACAAAATCCGTTTTCCTCACTCTCTTCTTGCTCTCTTTAACAAGTTGATGACATGAAAGAAAAACGCTAGAAGGCTAACACAAACACTTGACAGACAAGGAGATTGGCAGCAGCCGCGTCGTTTGATCATACAGGAAAGCGAAAAGTTGTGAACGGTAGGTAAAGATTGTTGAACTGCTCAGGAGGGAAAGTAGTCATCGACTCATCATTACCATTTCGCACAAGTGCAACGCAAGCTTTGCTCCCACTGCTGCCTCTTCATGGTTGTCCTTAACATCGAGATTCACTACCAAGACACTCCTCAACGCCTTCTGCTCTCGGTTGTGCAGGTCTGGAAGCACAAACCAAACATCCCGAAGGGACCCAAAAGCATCGTCACAAAAGCGAACCGAAGACACGCAGAAGAAAATAGGGGCATAGATCCATGTGATGCGCTATAAGCCTCCTTCAACATCAGTGCGATCAACGGTCACATTCTGATAAACCAAGAGTGCAGTCAGAGAAAATGCATCAGAAAAATAGCCGACAGGAAGGGTGGAAAATGAGGAGAACTGGAAAAAGCATGACCAAAAGTTATTGGTTTTGCTTTTAATGTGCCCCTGTTGCCAATTCTACACTGGCGATTATGGCGTCATTCTCAAGGTCATACACTTCAAGAATGTCGGTGAGATCACACCGTAATTTGCCAATCTGCTGATCCCCACTGTCTTTTGACTGTGGGCTTAGAATGCTTGAAACATTGCCAGCGTGTAGTCCTTGCAGATGAAGCTCTCTTTTCTGCCCATGCCCAATGCAAATAGCAATAAACCAAAATGCAACGTCTCACAGAAGACCGGATATCATTGGGCCAAAAGTGAAATCGGAATGCTAAGCAAGATCACACCAAATAGGAAAAATGAGGAAAGCATTGAAGTCTCTTGATAATCAACGCACTCCCAACGCCTCCAATCACCAACGCAACGACAGTGTAGCTCCCTACTGGCGGCTATCCGCCCAGACTACTGACAGACGCTCCTATCAACCTAGCCTACTATGTTACAACAGGTCCCACGCAGTGGAAGCCCAATCCCGCTTGAAGACTCTGATCGAACATCTTGCCTCCGACAATACCAGGTACATGCCTCGTCACACTGCCCTCATCCCCTTCTCCTTCCTTTCTTCCACCAAGGTCCTCTGCAACTTCCACCATCCGGCGATGGAGCGCTCAGCCTGGCTATGGCTGGCTCCCTCTTCTTCCTCGCTGCCACCGCAGCAGCTTCCTCCTCGGGAAGAGCACTCAGCTTCTGATCCTGCAATGCTGTCACACACAATGCCCAAACGTGTCTGCAGGCTGCGCCCTCCAGCCTTTTGTGCTGGCTGGAGAGGCTGAGCAGCCTCTGGCCTGGCTGCGCCCAGTCCCGGTACCCTGTGCCCAGGCGCTTTCCCAGAAACTGCACTGGCCCCTTCTAGAATCTGCACGAGGCCCAGTATCTGCAGCTAACCCGAAAGTTGGGCCTTCCAGCTAGTTGGAGATGCTGCACGTGCAGCAACCACCTGCGGGGGCCCAATTCTGCTAATGCAGGCCTAAAGTCAGGCTGGGGCTCCTCTTTAGCAGACCCGCCTTCACTTAGGCCGCACTGGGCCTTTCCTTGGCACTGCCGAGGTCCTGAATCCTCGCACTCCTTCCCCCTCTGATTTGAAAGTCCCGAGAGAAACAATTAATCCACCTGCTGCTTCCCTCTCAAACTCCACTCATAGTGGGAGATGATCTGAGGGGCTGTCTTCATCAGCTCCTCTTGTACCACCAATCTTCCTTGGGATCCGTGGATGTTTGACAGCCACTCTAAACCTTCACCGTGTTGGAACAAAATAGCTGGGAATTGTACTGCTGGTTTAAAAGGAACGCCCGCGAATGACGACCCCATGATGTGAGTGCGACCTACTACTGCAAGGATGTGCTAGGGTGAGAATGCTCCAATGGGAAAAAATCGGAGACTTTCAGGTGGATGTGTGCAGCCAGCATTCAAAACCAGATTCATCTCTCTCTCTCTCTCTCTCTCTCTCTCTCTCTCTCTCTCTCTCTCTCTCTCTCTCTCATATCTGTTCTTCATACCGCGCCGAATTCCATCGGGTTGATTTTGGCCAGGCCAAAATTGACAGCCAGATTCAGCCCTGAATGCCATGTTGTATAACCGACCTGGAAGCTCTCTCTCTCTCTCTCTCTCTCTCTCTCTCTCTCTCAAGTTTTACTTAGCCTGACACTGGCCAAAAACGTGGCCAGAGACAGTGGCAACCATTTCCAGACAGCATACCAGATGGAAGACCTGGCACAACTTGGCCGTCCTCAGCTCACACTCAAGACAACTGCACCACAATATTGACCTAATGAATTGGATTGGAGGTCCTCTGCAAGAAGGGGGAAAATCAAGGGCCTGCAACAGAGGGAACCTGATTCTGAGTGTACCTTTTGGTTTCACACAGATCTGGGAGTGCCAGCAAGGCCAAGCCAAGAGGAATCTCGGAAGCCAAAGGCTAGCTGAGAGTCAACCCTCCAGGACATGCAGAAAACAATGCCGGTCAGGGGTCCTTCGCCCTCAGTGGAACGTAGTGTGGGTGTCTAATAAACTTTCCAATGGAACCAAACTGATGCTCCCTGGAATGGACATGAAGCCAGGCCTATCAGGTCCTGTTTTAGTCGGGGGGGGGGGGGGGGCGGAGGAGGGGGAAAAAAAAAAAAAAAAAGTTAAAAAAACTTGTCAATGTAGCTTGACGAATTCAGCAAATGGGGCCAGGTATTTTTTACCTCCTTATTAGGAAGAGCTTTAGCCATTAACACATCCATATTCTCGATAATCTGGTGCATAGCATCAATCTAGACCATTCCAAATCACCACCTCTCAGGGTATGTTCACGGCCCCCGAATCGCGACAAACTGGTGTATCCCAAAAAAAATATTATGGCATCACACAGCAGGAAAATGGGTCATAAAGTTTCAAAGTGAACAGAAGACGACGACCTGGAACATCCTTCGTGATCAAAACGATCAAAAGGGTTCCCCATCATTCATTGATAATATCAACCCTGAAGAGAAAGTCCTGGACACTTTTCTCCTATGCAATGTAAGGAGTACTAAGAACCTTAGCAAAACAAATATCCTGAATTTTAGACGGCACGACAAGGCCTAAAATTTGATCCAGCAGAGTGGGCATGACAGTCCCGTTGAGACAGTGGATTCAAAATCTGCATCCTTACAACAGATTACTCCGTCAAGCTTAAGGCTACAGGCTCTTCAATAAAAAACAAATGCCCCCTTGGCAGCAATTAAAAGAAGACGGATGAGAGTGCTAGGGGGAAGATGCCACACAGAAAATGCGAATACCATAGCGGAAATTGAAGTTCCCAAGGCCAGCAAAGCTAGCAGTCTCCAAAGGCTGATGATAGCTTACGTTGCGCCCTTCCGTTCACCTACCGGCTCCAAATCCAAAGGAAAGACTGTGACCTGAACATTCCTAACCGATTCACAATATGCCCAGACCAGGAACAGGAAGATGTCATCCGCTGCCTGGTTGAGTGCAGAGAGGGTACAGAGAAGAGGAAGATATCATCCACTGCCTGGTTGAGTGCAGAGAGGGTACAGAGTACGAGGGTAGAGCACGTGACATATGGAACCAACTATTAGCATCCACCTTTTTTCCTGAAGACCCTATCCTCCAAGTTCTCCTTTGGAGTAACATCCCCGCCCCAGCTCAGCAAGCCCAAGAGGTAGTGGTACGGAGAGCCGTCATTACTCTGGATGATACCAGAAGTCAAATGGATAAAGTATGGCCGGCTACCGAGAGGGTCACGGAAGCAAAGATCAACTGCAAGTTGAGAGGGACTGAAGGTGGCAATCCAGCAGAAAATAGGAGCTCTGAACACGAAAGCAAAACCAAATTTGAATGTCCCTAACTTAGGTAACCGTGAAGTGGCAACACTGCAGGGACAAGCGTGGTAGCTCACCTGGGTACAGCTCTCACCTGGGTACAGCTCTGGCGTTGCGACGGGGAAGTTGCGCGTTCAATTTTCTGCCAACCCTCAACCTCCCCTACGCACGATCGGTTGGTGCTAGGTTGGCACTTGTCCTCCGGCCTAGTACAGCGACGAATAGACAGATCAGTTGATGTAGCAGCTCAGTGGGTTGATCTAGGGTGCTGCAAGGGGGATGGGTCATCGAAGCAGACATCACCTCGAAGTGGAGATGACTTAAGGCAGCAATCCAGCAGAACCCGGAGATCTGGAAAATGAAAGCAAAACCGAATGTGAATGTACCTGGCTAGGAAACGGTAAGGTGGCAACACTGCAGGGACAAGTGTGGCAGCTCAGAGGGCTAGAGGTCTGGTGTTGCAACAGGGAGGTTGCGGGTTCGATTTTCTGTCGGCCCTCAACCTCCCCTGCGCACGATCGGTTGGTCTACTGAGGTAGGACTGGGGGTGTGGGTGGATGGGGGCCTCATAAGGGGGTAGGACCCTACCAAAAAAAGAGAAAGAAAAGGTGGCAACACTGCAGGGGCTACAACTCAAATGGGAAGATTGGCATGATTCAGAAACGAGTTTCAGGCGGCAGGAGGGAAAATCGCAGGAATGGCAAGATTCGATACGGACATACGGAGTGGTTGGGAGTAAGAAAAAGACAGGGCTGAAGAGTTTCTTGGGAGGGTCCAAGACCAGCCGACACACACCGCCAGACATGCAATCAATCCTTCTCCAAGGAGTAATCAATGCTGTCTAGGGGTCCTTTCGGTGCAACCAAAGGAAGCGTCGGTGTGTGTTGTATGTAAGCAACCTTTTGACTTACCAATCGAAAAGGAACCAGACTGATGCTCCCTAGAATAGGAAGGAGCTAGGACCGTAAGGCTCTGTTTTAACAAGAGAGTAAAAATAAAACTGAACATGAAGATATTGCAAGGAACATGAGTATGGACGAAGCACAGAAATCCAGAATGCAAAATCACACTGAAGTCCAAGTGGTCAAAACCAGAGCAGGTAGCACAATGGAACCGAGTAACCATCCAATTGAGAATGATACAGAAGAATCTTGAGTCAATGTCCAAGCCCAACAGGGCAACACCGACAGCATAACCCAATGTAGCTCTCTCTTGTGAATGGCGCCAGGCGCCCTATCTACTCTACAGACTAAGCCTACAACTACAGCAATGAAAGCAACCAGACAACTTGACTACCGGCGAGTGATGATGTCAACACCAATGCCGACCTCCACCTCCACCAGGTACGTGTCCTCTTCACCCACACTCTCCCTTGTTACCTACACAGCGCCCTTCACCTCCGAAGAACCACCTTCGCCCTCACCTCTTCCGCGCACACAGGCAGCCCGGCTATGGCCGCCAGTGCCTTGCGCCCACAGGCAGCGCCCTACCGCCTAGCGCATGCCTGTCTCTCACCTCCGCCTAGTGCAGCACAGCACCGCAGCTGCTCGCATTCGCGCAGCGTGCCGGCAATGCCCGCATTGGCCAAAAGATCCCTGCCCACTCGCCCTGCTTGCCTATATGTCAGTGCTGCGTGTGGGCGGCCTCCCTTCAGCCTGCGACTGCGCCCCAGTGGCTGAACCCAGCCCGATACAGTTGAGGCCCGGGGCAATGCAGTTGCGCCTCTTTCATCAAGGCCTGTGGCCAGATTCAGATAGTGGGACGATTTCCTTTTGGCATTTTCAGCCTCTATACCCAACATGCATTGTCGGCCTCACGTTCAAGTGCCCAGGGCCTAACTAACTCAGAGGCCCTGGGATGTCCACATTTGCAGAGATAAGAGACTCGGTGCACTCCAACCAACTGGCGTGCTGCAACTGTATGGACTCCGACTTCGGGAAATGTTTGCACAGAGGGCTCTTGTTGATTTGCTGGCCCGCCTTCACTTAGGGCGGGCACTAGGCTTGCTGGGGCCTTAGCCCAGAACATGTCCATCATGGCATGCCCCTTCTTGAGGGCTCAATCCTCACAATATAAACATAAGATATAAAACACACACAAAAAAAAAAACAATCATAACAATGTCTGGCAAATTCAGCAAAATTACATAGGCACCTTGACCACCCTTTCCTGCCTCACACACCTGTCACCCATGCCTCCCTCAGCCAGGGCGAAGAAGGAAAATGTGTCACGTCCACAAGTACTCACCTTCAACAACCATGTCAAACACTCTTTCTTCGAAGGTGAAGACAACATCAAACTGCCCGTCCTCGGCGTTGTCTTGCCATCTCTGCGGCGCCCTCTTCACCAACCCATTTCTCTTCAGCATTTGCAGCAGCCCATTCCTCCGATATCTACCCAGATACAAGGTCAAGGATTACGCTTGGTAATTTACGATGCACTGCCATGCCTCTACACTCTACATTACGCAGCACGATACATGATGCAACACCAGAGGGAACGGCACATGAAAACTGCAAGCAGCGACATGAAGAGACTTAGGAGGTGCATATAGGGGGAGGGAGATAGACGAAGGCAGGTAGGTGTGCAGGAGGTTGGGAGAGTGGTAAGTTACGAATTCCAAAAAAAAAAAAAAAACAAGTATAACAGTGGCTTTCAGTTTCTGACACCATCTGCATAGGACCAAAGCTGGAAGAGTTCATCCGTCCATTGCCGGCTCTATAGATGATACCACACACACAAGTCCACTAACAACTCGTTGGAAATTGTCCTGGCCTGTGACAAGCAGAATGAATCTGTGCACTTGGCATCTGACCCCTGTGAGAGAATCAACATTCTGGGCTACCAGGATTTCACTATCTGACTTTTGTATGAACAAAACAAAGCATGCTGCTCTTCTGCACAGAGTAAAGCATATCTGAGCTGTCGCGAGGCTGGCCTGCATCATATGGACAGACCCTTGGAACATCATTCTGTATAAACAGGAAGCATGCACGTTGACCGTTCTAAGGTGAGTTGTCACGCGGCTGGCCTGCCTCATGGACAGACCCCTGCGCATTGAATATCGGGTCTGTATGAACAGGACGCTTGCGCCTTGATGGTTCTACGGCTCCCACTGTGCCAAATGCTGAGGCCAGCCAAGCTACTGAAGAATAGTACTCCCAAACCCAACCAACTGTTAATACTCTGACAAGAAGAAACGGTGAACAAATTTTTTTTGACCATCTCAGAAAGTGATCTCAACTGACATCACTGACCACCTGACTGCAAGACTCACTGGATCACACCAGAAGTGGCCCACACACACAGTAACCCAATCGGCAGCTGAAATCAATGGATTGTACAATCACTGTCTACCTATCAGTGTGCATAGGTGCACAAAGGACATAGCTGCAAAAAAAGTACTTGACAACGGAAGCAATGAATGAAAAGGAGCTACAGTGCAAACTAAGACACAACAGGCCCAAAAAAAAAAGAAAAAAAAAAAAAAAAAAAAAAGAAGGAGATCTTCCTCCAGTTGCGGTGCAAGAATGCCACATGCATGGCGCATGACTACACGTGGAGCACCTAACCCTTCTGTCCTCCCCCAGACATAACACGTGGTGTATTCAAGTTTCCCCAAGAAACCAAAGAGGGCCTTTATGACGATGCGGAGTATTACACTACCACCTATATGACACATGCCTTCCCAATTTCCCAACCAATGAAATGCATAGTCCATCCATGTCCTATTTCATTTAAACCGCTATCTGTTATGTTCGCGGGAAGATACTAGTTTTGGAGCTCTGGCTTAGCCTTACTGGATTTAGTGCTGCTACAAGTAGGCAGCTGCCGAACGAACTCCGTAGTAGACATAATGGAAAGGAGTGAGAGGAGAAATGACAAGCAGATGGAAAGTATATTCCTCACAGTTTTCTCACTAATTGGGAACTTACACAGTGCACATTCCTCCAGTTTTTTACTCATTAGAAGCAGAGATGGAATGTATAGTCCAACTTCTTCACTGAAAGCTATAGCACCATGCCCTTTGTCTGTGAATGAAAATTGGAAGCTCCGTCCTTCGGGACATCCGTTAAAATTGGAACGATACAGAGAAGATTAGCATGGCCCCTGCGCAAGGATGACACGCATAAATCGAGAAATGGTCGAAAAAAAAAAAAAAAAAAAAAAAAAAAAAAAAAAGGGAGCTCTGGCTTGGCCTCACTGGCACAATTTAGGTGTGATACGGATGTGTGACGTGTGTCCAACGAAAATTGGGAGCTGGGGATCTGGTGCCCCAGTTCAGAGTCTTCAGACTAAACAACATTGTTGTGAAGTTCTATCAAGGATGCTTGTTGAACCCAATTAAAGAAAGAATCTGGCAGCAAGGACACCCAAGACATCCACAGAAGAAATCAAGTCAATCAATGCAGCTTTGCACATGACTCAGTCAGCGTCAATGGGAACATATGTCTTCGCAGCGCAGGTCGATGCACATCCGGAGTGTAGGTCAATGCGCATCCGGAGCTAGCTTGATTTATTGGGGAAAAAAGAAAATGCATGCCTAATAATACTCTGCAGTGAAGGGCATATGCAACACTTTGATAATAATCGCCGGAGCTTCTTTCACAGCTCAAAACTCAGCACAAGGCACCCTATAGATACCTCCCCTAAGTTACTTGATACTGGAAGTGGTCTCCACGGGTTCTTGTATTAGACCACTACGCACAACTCCTTTGGACCCTTGTGCTTCTCGAGGAGTGGCTGGACGGAAGGATGCGTGTCAAACCAAGACAGCAAATGGTTAAGACAGTAAATGGTGTACCACAGTGAGACATATGTAGCCGGATGGTTAAGACAGCAGTTAGCTCTCCCTTTTTTTCAGGGGAGGGGTGTGGGGGAACCATTTCTCAATTTATGAATGTCATCTTTGCACAGGGGCCATGCTAAACCTTCTCTGTATCGTTCCAATTTTACGGATGTCGCAAGGACAGCGGTTGGTGCTCACCCTGGTTAAGACAGCAGATGGTTAACTGGAGTGTGAGGTACAAATTACCATCGGTTATTGGGCTCATGTCCAGAGAAGCATGCCCACAACTGATATCTTGAAAAAGAAGTAGAGTGTTGTTACGGAGATTTTGAGAAGACTCGGCCAAATATATGGGTGGATCAGTAGCCTCCAACAAATCCATTGGCAGGACTATACCAAAATGAACCACAGGCAGGAGACAGAGACCAAGCAATTACCAAATCTGCCCATTCATGACAAACACCTTTGATAACCCATGACACCCCCGAATGTCTCCCGTGACCGAGATGGCTACCACATCCAAGGAAGGCCACAGGCGCGTAAATTACCCAATTCTGACATAGGGAGGTTGTGACAATATATAAGAATACTGGGCTTTTCCGAGTCCGGTAATTGGAAAAAGTATTGACATAGGATACTGCACGTGTTCAAACCATCACCCCCTGACGAAGGTGTCAGTATCCGAACAGTCAGCAAGAGCATTCCCAAATACCAAACTTACTGACACCAAAAAAAAAACAAGTGAACGCGACTTGGACTCCTCTTCGAAGAGGTAGACTTAAAAAAAAACAAACCACTCTTGGTGCTTCTCATAAGCAAAATCCTCATCCTTGTCCATGCATTCAATTTGGACTAGACGGTGCAACTTCTGGCTCTCCAGCAGCAGATCCCAGCGCGATTGGCTGATCTACACGATCACATTCTGTGCAAATCCCTCAGTCTACTTTCCTCCTGCAGTGGTCTATTGCTCCACTCCCAGCTGGTAGCATGTCCTGCTATGGTCCAAAGGTTCTACGTGTGGACCTGCACGATGGTGTTCTCACTTGAATTGCTTGCTTTAGCTTCATCCTGTCATCCTGTACTGGTCCACTGGTCCATTACTAGGTGCTAGCTTGCACCTCTACGGTCCAACAACGGTTGCACCTCAGGACCTGCCTGATGTCCACGGTGACATTCTGTCCGAATCCCTCGGTCTAGTTTCTCCTGTAGCAGTCAATTGGTACTCTCCTGAATGATAACATATCCCACTATGGTCCAAAGGTTGTACCTCTGGACCTCACATAAAGTCTAGGGTTCCGAGAGTCACATCTTGGGCAGGCAAACCATGCACTTCCCCAATTGCCATACCCTGGCCTAGCAAAACCCTACCACAGTCCAGAGGCAACAGTTGTACCTTTGGACCTGCCTGATCTGCACAATGGCATCCTGTTCAGACCCTTGTTCTATCTTTTCCTGTAGTGGTTCATTGGTCCTCTCCTAGCTGCTCACATACCACGCTATGGTCCAAAGGTTGCACCTCTGGACCTCACATGAAGTCTATGGTTCTGACGGCTTGCTTGGCCTAGCACACCATGCACATCTCCCTCTAACCCCCAATGGCCACACCCCGGCCTAGCAATACCCTTCGATTTCCTCCCCCTCCTCCAATCCCCAACCCCCATGGCACCCAAAACGCTACTTGCACTGCTGTGACATGGCCTCGTTGGGTTCCAAGCGCCCAACTATGACATACCCTCTTGGTGGTTAAACAGACCAACAGAAAACCATATCACTCCTGAAAAGGCGGTACTCAACATTCAGGAGGAGTGAAAAGGGAGGGAAAGCTTTAGGAGCTACCCCATCACTCCTAGTCTGAAAAGGGCAATCACTTGGCCAATGTCTACCGAAAGCCGCTCAGTGTATTTCTCTGACCGTCCTTCGCTCTTGATACAGATGAGCTGACAAAGAGGATAAAACCAAAACTGTAAGAAATGTGGGTCAAGTCCTTCGGGACATCCGTTAAATTTGGAACGATATAGAGAAGATTAGCATGGCCCCTGCGCAAGGATGACATGCATAAATCGAGAAATGGTCCAAACGCGAAGGTTTACCCCTCCGCACAAGGCCCTGCAGCAGGCACGTGCCCGCCCCAAGTGAAGGTGGGCCCCTTGAATCTCAATGTGCCCTGAACTCATCAATTTTTGCAAATCTTTGTGGCCCCCAGACAGTTGCCACGTGCCAGTTGGTTACATCCGCTTTGCTCGTGAGAATCGGAAATATTCATGAGCCTTCCAGGCTCTTCCAGTACCGTGAACAAAGCAGGGAACACCGCACGTTTGTCCCTGGGTGGTTGGGCATGCCTAACCAATTCCGCCCCAGGCCACTGTCTGAACGGGCTGGGCGCAGACACTTTGCCCAAGACTGACTCGGTATCACGGGGAAGCAAGTGGGAATGCGCCCACCACTTTCCATGTAGGAAAGGGCTGGGCACCGGGCGACGTAGTCGGGCACTACGCAGTGCATGCGGCAGCGTTGCTTGAGCGTGCGCTCGCGGGTTGTGCGCTGTGCGCTAGCACTATGTGCAAGGCAGGCGCACGCGGGCGTCAAAGAGAGGCAGGGCGCTGC